TCACAATGGATTTTAAGCCTGTCCATAGTGTCAACATGACAAATCCAGGGGCATTAAAATGTATTAACAGCTTCTAATTAAGGAAATTAAAGTTGTAGTTGCAGCTATATAATATTAGCACTTACCTTTTTGACTCCAAGAATATCCTCAATTAACGTAGCTGTTTGCAAAAAGGTCTTCTTGTGTGTCATCAGCGTGAAGAGAAATAACACAAAATCATCCCTCGATGCCAAGCTTTTTGTGACTCCTTCCGTCTGCAGGAAAACATGTGCACTTATTGAACTCATGAACTGATCATGTGGATATTAGTCATGCTTGTGTTCAATTTCTAAATGAGAAGGAAGGCTGAATACATACACATATGCAGCAATTGTACAGCACACTAAGGCAGTCCTTCACCAAGTCATCGTTCACTACAAGCAGTTTAAAAATGACATTAAGAAAGATTAATTTATACATCCGTTGATGACAGACATAAAAACATATCAATGGTTACTAAAATACGTGCAGATAAAATAATATCATTACTGTTCTTTTTATTTCATATAAATATATTTTTATATTCCAAAATAAATAATTATTGTTCATGAATCTCCATAAAATCTCTAGTCAGCTTACTCTTGGGTTTTTGTAGCGTAGTCAGAGTGGGTCTCATCAGAAGCTCCACCAGCAGCTAAGATGACAAACAATCAGTCAATGATCTCATCTAAGGCTGCAACTAACATCTATGTTGATAAATAAATTAATCTGCCAATTACGTACCCATTGGATAAACAAAAGTTCATTTTATTTACTGCATGTCATTGAAAAAATATTTTCCCCCATTTCCTCCTCCATGCTCAAAACCAGACGGACTCTTTAGACTCTTTCTAGGCTGATTAGGGTGAAACATCTGCAGCACACTAGCAAATAAACACTACCCTCATACTGACAGATAACAGAAAATAAAATTAAGTTTATGTATGTATATGTATACGAATAAAAACATGTTATAAACTTTGTGAAAAACATCTGTTCCAAATTCTTTGGAGCTGTCAATGTTTTCCTTTAACTATGTGTAAACACAAGTTGAATTGTTGTTGTTGTTGTTTTTTACATTTAGGAATTATATTAACACTCACATCAACACCTCCAAACAGGCCAAAGGTGTATGTGTTGGGAAAGGTGGACTCCTGTGCCGTCTTTCTGTCCTCTGTCACAAAAGACATGGCCTCCATAGACAGCAGGGATGACAGTTCCTGTATCAGAACACCACAATTAAGTACATAATGAAATACAGCTATCAAGAGGCTATAAACCTGTTTGTAAGATACAAGTAAATATAGCAGACTGAAAGAAGCGAATAGAGAAAGAGACCTCACCTTCAGGACAGTGTGTGTGTGGGTGAAGTCACTGTTTAGGTGGCTGCTCTCGTACAGCTCTTGGAGTAAGACTGGAATCCCGTGCCATTTCGCCCTCTTATCTCTCTCCTGAAGAAGAGCTTCTGGGAGCTGGAAACAAAAAAATAAATGCTAACTGGATTTGTATTAATTAAAGAAATAGCAGTTCTCGCAAGTCAGCAAAAGAACAGTGCTAGACTTTAGGCTTTTGTTCTTAAATGCTATAAAAATTCTGCATCACAGCTGCTTTGCCACTGTCATGACACTCAACATATATATCTCTATTTTTATATACACATTACACATTCATACATACATAATCAGAAGTGACACTAAAGAGAATAGAGACATATCAACAAACAAACACACACATACACAGATATATGTGTGTGTGTGTGTGTGTATATATATATATATATATATATATATATATATATAT